ATATTTTAAATTAATTTCTTTATATAGACAGGTAAAAACGAACGATATAATATCCCGACGTTTCGGCGACTTCATGACGCCATTATCAAGGGTATACAAATAAAAAAAAAATTTAAAAATGCGAGTTCAAGAGTTACAACTAATTTGCATAGGGGAGGTAGCTACACAAATACTTTAACACGGATAGAATCCGTTTGCACGTTCAAACTCGGTGTTAATTGTTTGATGTAAAGCATCTCGTTGATAAGACAATCGAATTTGTTCGTGCACTTCTTGAGAGCAATTTTCATATTTCTCCTGCACCCTGTCAGAGGGCCAGACTATATCACTAATACGAAATTTACAATAGTGGTTACTTACACCATTGGTAATTACATGCTCACTCAGCGAGGCAATTTTCATTTTTTTCCCGCACCCTGTCAGAGGGTCAGACTATATCACTAATACGAAATTTACAATAGTGGTTACTTACACCACTGGTAATTACAATACTTTTCTTACATTATTCACATCTCTTTTTTTTTTCCCTTCGTTTTTATTATTATTTTGCAATTACACGATATGAACAAAAAAAAAACAACAACAACAAAAAACACATGAAGAGGTTTGTTGACAATATTTGTATCTAACTACCTTTGATCAAATTCTAAATTTTCTATTGCATTTTTATGTTATTTATAAATTGTAACTTATTAAGATTTATTCTCATTAATTTTACAACTATATATGATCTATCTTTTTATTCACAAGATAAGCAAATCCAGTCGGCATCGGAGGTTATCGTGAATAGCAAGAGGGGGGTAATTCTGAAGTAAAATTTGGTCAAAAGATAAATATATGTGTGTGTTATTCAAAGTATTGAACCACGACTAAGGATTTCTTGATAGAATTGAATACTCATAGGGCAATCCAAGAAGGTGAGTTCTAATGAAGCAGGAGTTATACATTGAAAGCATAAGTCATCATTTCTGATTTTGAATTGCTTGAGTTCCTTATTAGTGACCAATATCCTGTGGAAATTAAACCTTATAACCAAGTTCTCTTTATTTTTTATCATTCACTGTTTTGTAAGGTTTGTGTAAGATCTGTTTCCAAACAATTAGAATCTAAATTTACCAACATATGGACCATCTTTTAACAGTGGTAGGTTCTGTTCTAATCTTTTCCTGAAGTCATTTGCAGTTTAATCTTTACATCTACATTTTAGTTAAAGAGATAACTTTATTTTTAGACAGATGGAAAATATCCCATTCCTCTTTGTTACAGCAACTGCCTCAGTGTTTTCCTCTTCAAATAATTTAGGACTGCAGCAATAAGTTGAAAATATCTTAAATATCAATATTAATATTCTCCATGATTCGATTCACAATATGGTTCTTGTGAAAAAAGGTCTAGCTGTCATGCTATTCTTGACATAATTAATGAAATTGAAACTAACATGGGCAAAAAGTTGCACTCATTGTGGTGTGTTTACTAACTTGCAAAAAGCCTTTAACACGTCAGTTAATCATTCAATATTATTGGGAAAATTGAGTCATTATGGAGTACGTGGAACAATTAATGATTGGTTTAAATGCATCATACCTAGTGGGTCATCAACAAACAACACAAATTGGTCCTAAAACACATCCAAAAAAGAAGTTGTGTTAGCAGGTGTCTCCCAGGGATCCGTCCAAGGACCCTTGCTATTCCCCATTTATATAAATGATATATCTAACAGCTCTGATAAATTGAAGTTCTACTTATTTTCTGATGAAACCAATTTGTTCTCTCCTAGTAAAAATTTCAAATTGCTTGAATCTATAGTTAATTTGGAAAATTAATTTTTAGGGTTTATAACTAGCTGATTGCAAATAAATTATCATTAAATAAATAAAGAAATCTAACTTTGTCATTTTTAGTCAAGATAAAAAATTTAAATCACTAAGTCAACTTGAAAGTACATGACCATCATAACAACTCATACATTTCTTTAGAATCCAAAAATTATGTCAAATATCTTGGTGTCGCAGCTTACTGATAAAAATCTTTCATGGAAATACCATATTACCCACATCGCTTCAAAAATAAGTAAAACAATTGGCATTATTGCCAGGCTTAGACACTTTGTACCCCTGAATACTTTACCTTACACCACATATACATATCTCTTATTCAGCCCTTAAAGTGCCCCTGAGATCAAAATTTTCTTAAATCAATTTTTATCCACTTTCATGTTCAGTGTGTCTCCTTCAACTACTCTGCCAAATTTCAGTTTACAGCGAGCATCATAAATATCTTTTCGGGCCGTTAAATTCACGATCTCGCGTCCGCCATTATTTGATCGTGTTCCGGAAGTTGATCCCCCTCTAGGGCCCAAATTTTGATCCACTTCAGTTTTAATTTGTGTAAAAATTCGTTCGGCTTATAATCGAATAAATACGGTAGCGTGGGTGAGTTAATTTGGGAATATCTTCCAACTTGGCATGTGTGGGTCACAATAATTGTGTGTTCTGGCAGATAGTGACCTATAATTAAGGGAGTGAACATCACAAATGGACAGTTTTTACCCGATTAGATAGTGATGAATATTGCAGCCAGTTTACAGACAGGATTCTTATATTACTTATGCGTGAACACCTGCACAAGAAGCAAACAGTCCTGCAGAAGTAGTTATACATATATTTCTTCCTAGTATCACGGTACAGAAACAAATACCTTACTCTAGTCAGCGAGCCACAAAAACATGTATCCAAGTGCTTGATGAACCATATACATTGTGTACAGTAAATTTTCTCCACTAAACATGATCTTGTTATGGTTTTTAGCCCTTCAATATTTCTAAGAGCGATGAAGTATGCAATCAAATACCGGTTTTAAATAATAATAAAAAGACGCCAAGAAAAAAATCTAGAAACAAAGACCCAAAGGCAAAGATCTGAAAACTAAGACCCGGACACCTAGACCAAAAAATTAATACTATGTACTTGTATATATTTTTACTTTGTCAAGGAGGTTATTAGCTCTTGCACGTACTGAGTGAATAATACAAAAGGGAGCCATCATCAAATGGTTAGACAAACAATTCTTCTGATTCTTTGTTT